AGGTTAAACTGTGTGCTTTGACAGGGGATTGGTAAAGCGATAATCATTCTGTCTCACTTCTGCGTAGTGCTTCCAGTTTCTCTAGAATTTGCCCCAAATCGGTCTGGCCACTGATAAATCTCACATTACCGTGCATAAAATTGTAGCAGCAACCAGGACTGGTAAAATTACCTACTTGGTGATTCAAGTTTCAACTTAGCAAGACGTTGAGATAGAGTTACCTGGCACCTACGCAAGAGACTTGTCAATGGAAACCGTACACAAATGCCAAGATCTGACACATTTTAGCCATATCACTTTCTTACTGCAAAACTGAGATTGGATGTACAGACTGCAACGCGACCCGTGCAATCAAGCCAAGAGAACTCGTTGTGGTAATGGAAGAAGACTCATTTGCTCTGGAAAGAGTGGAAGGATGGGGAATGGTGGGAAAGATGCACCGTACAGAGATCACACGAGTGTCAGTGGATTTCTGAGGAGTCACAATACAACTTTGCTTTTCGTACGCAAGTGAAAGAAGTCAGCTCCATTCAAGTCATCCGAATGTTTGAGGTGGAAGTCAGTGAGAGAGACAACGATGAAAAACTTTCCCTCGCTGAGATGAGATTCATACAGAAGGTAAAGATGGAATCCACAAACGAGACGATGGCCACTTCGAGATGCCACTTTCCTTCAAAACTGACGAGGTCCAACTTCTCATTTACAAAGCCTATGACAGCTGAGCAAACTGCATGAAGACAAAGAAGTTGGATAATCATTAATTTCGGGTTGCATTCATGATTTTACGATCTTCTACTATTCCCCGATGGTTCGTCCACCGGTCAAGAAACCTGGCCCCTCGGCCATTGTGCTGTCGCGTCGTGTTGTTTCTTGATGCCATCGTATCGTGCCATATCGTGACGTCACGTCTTTCCGCCATATCGTTGCGTCAAGTCGTGTTGCCTTTCATTGTTTGGTTCCGTTATATGGCGTGGGTTAGGCCGTCGCGTCCTGCCGTCATGCTGTCGCGTCCTGATGTCGTGCCGTCGCGTCCTGTAGTGGCACCTTTGTGTCATGCTGTCGCCTTGTTTCGTCGTATCTTGCCGTCAGTACTGTTTCTAAAAAGGGCTAATGATTATCACGGCCAATATAGAGGGCGTATCCCATATGTCACGGCTTGCACATGGTGTATATAGGGCCTATAAGATGTGATATAAGATGGTATCTATCTATTGGTAGTGTTTGAACCACAGACATATAAACGCATAGACCGCCAGTCTAATAACCGTGATGTTGAAAAGTATGGGCAAACAATGGATGACAGTGCGTTCAATGCGCATTACGTGCAACGCACTTACATTGCCTGTATTTGTTTACATGTGCTTCCAAATACGTTCAACTTCTTTGCTCTTCTGTATTGCTATCTCTTCTTTTTAAATGTTGCAACAGCATTGTTTTGAATCCCTATGGGCCAGATTAAGTAAAGAAAAGATTTTTTTACAATCAAAAAATGATGTCATGGAATTTTATGGAATTCTTTAACTATGCGTATATCCCTTATGCCAAGGGGTGAATTTGCCCATAGTTTTGATTTTAGTCGGGCGCCAGACCACGAAAAACCCCAGTAGATTTGAATAGGACCTGGTGGTCTATGCGTTTATATGTCTGTGGTTGGAAATGAGCTCCATCCCTAAGTGCGCCCCCATTGGTACCATTAACAAATTGGCAAATGTGGCCTCTTCAGAAGAGGCCACGTCCCCTAGCAAGGAAACGGCGAGAACAGCATGCGACGGCACGACGCAACGGCTAAAGGGCACAACGCAGCAGACAGCATATAACGCGATGGCACGACGCGACGGGTTGGAGGCACGACGTGACGGCATGACGTCGACGATATGGTACTACGCAATGGCACGATACAACGGCAAGACAGCACGACACACACACAACGTCACAACGTGACGTCACGATGCGACAGTACAGCGGCATGACTTGATGAAGACAACAAGACTAGGGACTCTGTATTTTTACATTAAGAACAGGTGACAGCATGCACGACGCGATGGGAACTCGGGCCCGTCGCGTGGTAAGCGTCGTCATACGACACAATTTTGTCGTCTATAGAAGAAAAGCACATGTTGGAGGTGTCGTTTTACCTGTCACAGCCCCACAACTACAGTGCAGTGCTGTTGGTATTAGTCCATGTAGTTTCACACAGCTAGGCCGCTCGTGCGATAAAACAAGATTCCACCCCCGCCTCCGAAAATGATGATCGCACCGACATCACCCCGGAGTTAGCTCCGCCTGCGGCTGCCACCCCATGTGCAAAGTGTGTGATGCACACAAAGTGTACGATCTGGTGTGATCGCTGTCGGGCAGAAAACGGGAGATTACGCAATAAAAAACCCGATTTTTCAAACACAAAAAAGAAAGAAAAAACGAGCATCGGTTTAATTATGCCTTAAAAACCACTGTACATGGTGCCGTTTTCAAGAGCAATATCACAGCACAATTTTATTGAAAAAGGGAATTTTCTGTCACCAGTAATTTACCTCAAGGGGTGGATTCAAACAACAGATAGCGTTACGACCCCATGTAAAAAAAAAAAGGCCATATGCAGCGGCGCGCAGAACGATTTTCAACGTGGGTGGGGGCAGTTGTTAAACGATCAGGCATTAGCCATTACAGGCTGAGTTATAAAGCACCGCCCCATTATAGGCTCTGCAAAAGGTGGGGGGCCATGCCCCAGTCGAAAAAGTCCCTCCCCCCGCTCCCGCAAGTTACACGGTATTGCGACTTGCAGTTCTGTAAGTGGCCGTGGTGTCGTGCAGTTGCGTCTCGCCTACGGGCGAGGAGGTGTGTCATAAAAAAAGCTGAGTTCGGCGGCTTGTTCTCCTAATATTCACGAAAGCTCGATTTGTTGTTCGTTAGTCGGCTGCTCGAACGCCGGGAACGTACAACCGGTAATCGCTGGTTGTTGCATGCAACATGGCGGCATCCATGTACGTTATTATTATTTTTAAATTTTGACCATGTCAACGGTCGTGAACAAGACCTCAAGGTCCTTCTAAAATCACTCCCCGGATAAAAATGATAAACGATGAAAGACAAAATAAGAAACGTTAAACGTATACTTAGAACTAGATACTTAGAAAAGCTAAGAGCAAAACTAAAAACTAAAAACCAAATAAAACTATGCAAAACAAGAAGAAAAATGTTGTTGCATCCTAGTAGGCAAAGGAGATAGCACAGACACATACCAAACCACGACTAAAATATAGACCAATAAAATAGACAAAACATTAAAAACAGTAACGATGATAACAGGAAAGGGACCAATTAAAAAAGTTAGCAGGAAAAAATAAAAAGTCTTAAAACGTACTGAATGTAAGTACAAAACCAAATCAGTAAAAAAGCACATAAAATGCATCGTACAAAGATTAAAACTTAAAAAGAAAGAAAGAAATAAACAGTTACACAATCAGATGAGAGTGGAGCGATTTAAGGATACTCAGAGAGGACTATCAATGACCCTGTGGGGCAGGTCCTATGTTCTTTCAGAGTAAATTTTGGAAAGCTGCAGCTGAATTCTTGTCTACTTAAAAAGGAACATTCATTTCTTTGCTATGGAAAATTATTTTTAAATTATTTGTAAAACTTCACATTGTCTCTGACTTTGTGAGCCATCTCGCCATTTTTGCAGCTGTTCAAAAATCAAAATCTCACGAGTTTTGCCGTGTGTTCCCATAAAACCCTGACGAGGAGGTGGTGCGTGATCCTGTTCCGGGAACAGTTTTATTGAGTCGTGTTCCCGCCGTTCGAGCGCGAGAACAAGAAACCCGTGTCAAGAACAGGCTGCCCGAACCTGGCCATAACTCACAGGTCTCCAGGCGAAGTTTATTTCAAGCCGTTGCTGTCTGGGTTACGTCACTAAGCTTTGGGCCAATCAGATTAGGCGTATCGTCTCAACGAGACCAGAGATAACCGAACTTTCTTGGGGGCGGCAGCCATTCCAACGGACTTGTCCTGTATGGGTGCAGTGTCCCAATTCAAGGAAAATTCTCCGCCCGACTTAGGCGCACAAAAAGTACCCCCCA